TCGACAGTCTCAAAGCGGTACGGCCATTGTCCCTCAAAGAACTCAATACTATCCGAGATATCATCATCCGGACATTACGAAGAGTGCGCCGGCGCCGTTCTCGCAAAATTCCGTCTATCAATCTGCCAACGTGACGGTGACCACAGCTGGAAGCGTTCAACAGCCGGCTACGAGGCCTACGCCGGTCGAACAGAACAGTGTGCTGGTTCATGGGCAAGATCAGCAACGAGTGCCGAGCTCTTCTTACGGATCCAGCGTGCAAACTCCGCCGTCGAGTGGATCGACGATTTACGGATCGTCTCAGAATTATCGCGTAAGTGGGCAACTTCAGCAAACTCGGTCCGTTAATCCTACGGCCGACGAACGAATCAGGCCGGTTCAACATGGTATCGACGGAACGAGCGCGTCTTCATCGTCCTCTTCCTCCTCCTCCTCCTCCTCCTCCACCAACTCTAACAACTCCTCTTCGGGGAACCCTTGTACTTCGGCAAATCCACCTTGCAATCCGCGTCATGGATCCAGTCACATTCCTTCGTCGCCTCAGAATCTTCCGGCGCACATTCCTTCTCCGCATCTTCCCTCCGCAGCTTCCTCCGTTCATGGACAACACCCTCAGCAACAACAGCAACAGCAAGGCCAACAACATCACACTCGAATAAATCCTTCCCCTCACTCGGCCAATCCAAACGCCTACAACAACGCTCGCACAATCCTCTCGCAAAGCGGGCCTTCGCCGTCCTCCTCGTCGTCTTCGTCGTCAAACCATCCGCAACAGATGATACCTCCTACGGGCTTAAGCGGTTATCATCCAATAGCTTCGCCCCACGAGCCACCTCGTCACGCTACCCCATCGCCCCACAGACAATCTCCTCACGTATCGACGCTTCACAATCCTCACGCCTCCTCTCCTCATCCTACACCATCGCCCCACGCCGCCTTCCAACCGCATTCGCCGACTTACCCACCTCCTCCGCCACCGGCCAGGTCTACGCCGCACTCCTACAGCGTGCCGGCGACGTCTCAGCACTATCAGAATGCCGGATACAACGCTAGTCCTTACGCGCCTCCACCTCAGTCTTCGTACCATTCCTTTCAGAAGAGTCCGCAGCAGCCGCTGTCGCAGGTAAGAACGATTTACGGAGGTTACGGAGGTGTGACCACTTGGAGCGACCAACATTGTTATTAACCTTTCTTCTTTTTTATTCGCTGTCCTCAGTCGCACGGGAGTTACTACTCTCAACCAAATAGATCTCACAGCCAATCATACGTCCAACCAACTCCTATGGGTGCACCGCCTCAACCAATTTGTCCCGGTGGAACGAATAGTAGCAACGGTGGCTTAACCTATCAGCAGAACAAAGCAGTAATGTACAATGGTGCCGACTCGAAAAGAAGTCCGGCGGAAATAGTTGGGAGTTACGCTTCTTACCGATCATCCTCGACTAACGTGCAGAGAAGCAATAACACGCACAATCTGCCACCGATCGCCGCCTTGTCCTCCTATCATTCCAACAAGAGAGAAACGGGAAATAAAGTGCAATCGATTCAACGACGAGTGCATTCTATCGGTGCAACGAACAAAGTCCCTGTCGTGACACCACCGAGCTCGGTTATGGTTCTTCCCCAAAGGATTCCGGAATACTCTTCGCTCCCTACGCCATTGAACCACGCGATACCGGTTAATGGAAGAACAACTAGCTCGGTTAATTCTACCTACGCTGGGAGATACGCTAACCAGCAAAATTATCCGGCTTACGCGACCACCATCGCGCCCAGCCATCACGGTAGCAATTCCTCGAGTAACACATCGGTGACATCCATCGGTGCCACGGTTCGATCTTCCGTTCCGGCTCCTCCGGTACACGCCTATCAGTCTTCCGACACTACCGCTCATTTGGGATCCTATCATCACACTGTCAGAACTGCAGAGAGTTATCCGTATAAGGAACAATCCTATCAAAATTCCTCGGCACCGATGGTACCTGCTGTTCCAGGTACACCTTTACCGGCGCCAACGCCACCACAGACCAACGGAATCAGGAAAAGAGAATCTCCTCTCGATCTTTCCGTGAAAACGGTAAAGACGTCTGCGGACTCGACGGCGCAGGACGATCTCGAGGCTTCTTCGACGGACAAGCACGCGAGTAATTTGAATCTAATGTCGCCGTCGACGATGTCGAGGAGTAGCAACGGTTCCAGGAACATGGCTCCACCGGCTATTCAATCCTTAGCACCACCACCCATTGCTTCTTATTCTAATTACGATGCTAGAGTCTCGACCCGTGGCGTCAGGAGTTCGTCCATTCCTTCCGTATGTCCTCGAACGTCGACACCGCAGACAGTTTGCGCGCCGAAGGTCGACTTCTTGCCGGATTTCAATTCGACCCCGCTCCGACAACATCACGCTCCGCCGCACGATAGTCCGATCCGTAGAAATACGGGTCAACAACTGTATGGGCCGCCACCACCACCGCCTCAAGCGCCTTTGCCCTCGCAGTATACGAACAACACTACTCCACTGCCTCATATGTCAACGTTCCAGAAGAGTTCACTGCCCGCAACGCCGGTATACGACGGGAGTCCAGCACCACCACCACCGTCTTCGTCGACGTCTTCGTCGTCTTATCTACCGGCCAACGATTCCTCGAGGTCTTCTTCTAGATATCCCGTGGTAGATCCCTCAAGGATGGGCCCGACAACACTGCCCCTCCAAGAATATCCTTCCGATCCCAGCAAGTATTATTTGGACACGAGGAACAAATTCGGTTCGCCGACTCAGAAAGATCATCGTGGTACCATCAAAAGATCCGGTGAAACTGTTTACTCTGGAACTGCTCCAAACAAACAGCCTAGATTGGATACTTGGAGAATAGCCATCGACAAGCAGATCGAGCAGAAACTCTCGACGGTCAGGTCGCCTCACGAGCAACAGAAAAGACAAGAATTGAATTTGCCCGTTGCCATGCCGAATGGTACATTGATAGCACCAAGTACTTACGAGCAGAGATCGGACAATGGTTATTCGTCGTCGGATTCTTTGAGGTATCAACAAGCTTACTGTGATAAAAGGAATTACCCGGAGCCGAAGGTGGCACGTACCTCTCCTCCGTATAATCACCCACCTATCTCGAAAGCAACGAACGTACACGCGTTACCGCAGCAAGTCAATAGTCAGACATCTTACTCGAATTATAGACAGAATCAGAGAACGGCTTGCCCTCCGGTTAGTTCGATGGCAGCTACGCCTACGGTCGATCAACCGAGTAACACGGGCGCGGATAAACGAGTTTTGAGCTTGTTGAGGAATAGTCTTGAGAACAAACAGCAAAGGGAGGAACAATTGAACAGTCAACAACCTATTTTGGTGAATCACAATCAACAGAGTTTTCAAAACAAGGTATACATTGTCGATTGTATTTTATTTATTCGTAGTTTGGTCATATAATGAGTGTTCCGTATTATCGTCTCGTCTTCTTTTTTTTTTTTCATCATCAAAGGTCGTCGCCCCAGTGGAGCCTAAAACGAATATAGGGAGACACAATTTATCGCCGTTTACGGCGGCCAGTTTGTTGGAACGGAACAGCAACACTCCGCCACATTACAAGTTCCATGTGCCACGAGCCGTAGACTCGATCACTCAAGAGGCCCCCCGTAGTATGTACGCTTCGCGAGTAAATTCATCTGCCACGCTACCTGGCAAAGAAGCTCTCTTGGGACCTCGGGGAGCCGAGAATCAAATTCACCGTGACAAGGATGACGGGCTTGCGGCCATATTGGCCGCGAAAATCAGGACAAAGGCGGAACTCAAACAGGTGAGGTATATTGTGACTGGTCTAGTCGAATTTATTCGGGTTAATAATTCTTGATAAATATTTTCGTTTTATTCAATATTCACACGACGTTTCTCTCTCTCTCTCTCTCTCTCTCTCTCTCTCTCTCTCTCTCTCTCTCTCTCTCTCTCTCGGGTATGATCGTACACTTGTTTAAGCTGTTTAAGAAGATATTACTATATCGAATTAGGTCGGCACCGGACAGTTCTTGGCAAAACCCGTAGTTCCTTCTCAAGATGTATCTTCTACGCCAAAAGGTAAGAATTATTCCTCTGGAAGAGGAAGAGTTCATTTTCTTTTTTTTTCTTTTTTTTTCTTTTTGTTCGAACACTCCTAACAATCGAAATGTGTTATAGAACTCGATAGCGCGGCCTCGACGTCAACTCCACAATCCGGCTCGTCCGCGGGAAGCCCACCGAAATTGACTCGCGAAAAAGCGGCCTGTCTACCACCGAGAAGACGTTTGTTCTCGAGAACGGAAGAAGAGAATATGCCGGTCGCTGCGACGACGGTACCCGTGTCAACCCCAACTCCAGCAGTTGCCTCAACGGTACCACCACGTGCCAGTGGTTTTAGAAGTTCCTCCGAGACCTCGGTCTTTGACTTCAGAGAGAGCGATTCGGAGGGTGAGATGCCGGTGTTGGAGCGTCAAACCCTCGAGGAAATGAGAAGAGACAGGAAGCAGTTGTCGAAGGTTCAACCTCCTATTCCCTTGAACGATGCCATGTGTATGAACATGGCTTCGTCCATGGATCTCGTGAAAATCGAGCTTAAGGTAAATCCCGAAAATCCATAAAATCTATTTGACGGAATTACAAATGTTTATTCCTATTATCGCTTATAATGATTATCTCTAGGAGAACGACAAGATCAACGAAGTCGATCCATTCTGGGCAGTAACCTGCGACAAGTTTATGGAACAATTGAGAGCCGGTGATGTTGTGAAGAAACGTGGACGAAAAAAGAAACTCGATGGAACCTCTTCGAAGATGGATGACACTGGTAACGATAGTAGCAAGGAGTCCGACCTTAATACTAACGACGCGACCGCTGACATAAAGATCAAAATAGAGGACATCAAAAAGGAGGTAGAAGACGTGGTAGAAGCGGTTGTCGATGAAAAGGTCGAGACCGCGGAAACTAGCAAAGACGATTTGAAATCACCCGTTTCGATAAAGATACAGGTTGAAGAGAAGGTCGCAGTAGTTGAGGCAAAGGAAAATGATAGGAGAAATTTCGGTGACGATTCCGACGAAGTACCATTGATCAAGCGAGCAACGAAAAAGAAATCGAAAAAGGAGGATAGCGATTGCGAGGAAGAAATCGTTTGTAGAAAGAGAAGAGTCCGAAGGGGTAGTAGGATCAAATTGGCATCGTCCAGTGGTAGCGAATCGTCCAGCGAGGAAAGCGACGTTAGTACGGAATACGGACATGGTTCATCGGTCGCTGACAGACTTCGTGCGAGGAAAAGGTCAGGGAATAGCGGAGAAAATGAGGGCATGAAGTTACGTTCGAGAGATACAACGCCGCAAAAGAATAAGACGGAAAAGGAAATGAAATCGTCTACCTCTAAAACCGTACCTTCGTCTCGAAAAGTAAAACCCAAACCATTGTTCGGTGATGGTAGCGATTTTAGGCCAGGCTGGGAGGAAGAGGTATACGTTTATAAAAAATCATTAAGAATGCCAACCAGACTAATCACCGTCTCGAAACCTTCGAGATTTCATAGGCTATCGACGTCTCTTCCCGATTTGGATCCTGGCTCTCCAGCCTTATCGGTCTCCATGGATAGTTCGGACGTTTGCTTAGGTAGAAAAAGACTCGTTGACAGCGACATAGAGTCTGAATATAGTTTCAGTATTACTGGGCTCGGTAGTAAGATAGACGACGAAGAAGCTACTTCCTCGACGACGATATCTTGTCCTCCAAAGACAACGATTGGAAAACAAACAAGATTGGAAAACAATTCTATCGTAGACGTGCTCGCCCAAAAAGTTGGTACTGGTAAAAAGGATTCGAAGAGGAAACAACAAAAGGAAAAGTCTGAAAAGGGAACGAAGATCCTTCAAAAAGGAGGTAACAACGAACCTGAACTTCTTCCAACGCCGAGTCTTACTCCTCTTCTTGCTTCGGAAGCTCCTAAAACCCCGAAGGGCAAGTCCTCCTCTCCAATAAAGAATAAACCTTTAAAGCCGATCAAAGTTTCGGATTCATTCCTTTTGGGATATTTCCGTAAAGAGACAGTTAATAATTTCCGCGATACCTTTAAGAACAATCACGCGATACCGAACGAGTTTTCGACGTTCGTCTTGAACAGCAGAACGAGAACGGAAACGCGCGTTTTAAAGAAACAGACCACTATCAGAGAAGTATTTGGCGAGGATAGACCAGCGTCCGCTCCGCCTATGCAAAATCATGGCGACACTTCCCAAGACGATGATTCTCAAAACGAAGCTATGGAAAATACATTAGGAAAGCCTCGTACGTTGAAGCAAAAGGTAGTGTCCCGATTGAGAAACGCGGGTATCCTAAGAAGTCATAAGGCAATCGTCAATTCGAAAAGACATTTACTTATCGCTAAGAGAAGAAAGGATCTTCTGAAGTCTTTGGCCGAGAAGAAGTTGAAGCGTGTTAAAAAGGAAACGGAAGTGGAAGTGTCGAAAGAAACGAACGATACTCAGGAAGCTGAGAATAACGAGATAGAAGACGAGAATAACGAGTCCGAGGTACCGAACAAAAAGAAGTTAAAACTTCGAACGGGTAGGCGGAAATTCCGTTCTGGATTCGACTATGTTAGGAAGAAAAAGAGACCTTTGAAAAAGGATGACGCAGCACCTAAGGAAAGAAAAAGAGTATGTAGATCTTTTTGGTCGACTTTTATAAGATCGATTTGCAAGAATGATCATTAATCTTTTTTCGCAGCAGATATTGTCAAGACCGAGTCCAGAATGTGTTGCTGATATTCAGTCAGAGATCAGGACGTGGGTCATTAAAAAGGGTGTTGGAGAAACTATTTTACATCGTGCCGCCAGACTCGGTCATACGGTGAGTCAACATTTCTCTCTCTCTCTCTCTCTCTCTCTCTCTCTCTCTCTCTCTCTTGTTGTAATTTTATCTTGTTTTCGTTTCTGGGGTTTTATTTTTTCGTAAACTTTTCGTAAACGCTTCGATACAGGATGTGACAGCCTATTGCTTAGAGAAACTCAACAGTGCACCTAGCCCAAAAGATAACGCGGGTTATACGCCACTCCATGAGGCATGCTCGAGAGGTCATTTGGAAATTGCCAAACTTTTGCTCGCTTATGGCGCGAATGCAAGCGAAAGTGCAAACGGAGGAATAAGGTTGGTAGAGATATGAAGTATGCGTTGAAAAACAAAAAAAAAGAAAAAAGATATGATATAAAAGGATCGTTTGATCGAACCTTATTCATTGTACATTATCAGACCACTTCACGAGGCTGCCGAGAGCGGTTCAACGGAATTGGTGCGATTACTTTTATCGTACGGTGCCGATCCTCTACTAGCTACGTATTCCGGACAAACACCATTAATGTTGGCGGTAGAAACTGAAGCTTACTCGATTCTCGAACAACATTTGGACGACATTCAGGGTCATAGCAGTACACCTTGGTCGTTCGGTGGACCTGCTTCGATCTTTGGTAAGTTCTAACTTTTTATTATTTCGTCGAGAGACTCTTGACAAAATGGGTGAAAGCGTCGTTTATTTCATTTCCTCGATAGACCCAGAAGAAACTGGATATAATCCTTTGAGCGATCCACCCATGGATAGTCCGGAGCCTGAACTCGAGGAAATAGAAATGGAGGTGAGCGACGTGAACCTACCGGTCTTATTTTCTCTTACCAATGATTCGGACAAGTGGGTGCTCCTTCAAGATTTAATGGCGGCTCTCAGAATAAAGAGTCGCGATGCTCTCTTACGTCAAGTGAATCCAAAGGCACATACCGGACCACCGGCTATTGCTCATCGCGACGTCATGAGAGAACTCAAGCTTCCTGATTTCTTAGAACAGTCTCGATGTTGTCATTTGTTAAGCGGCGGCGAGAAGATAAACGTGCGGGGATCAAAGGTCACACTGATTAAGTACAACGAGAGAGTTAAATCATTGTTAAACGTCGAAAAGGTGCTAATAAGTCTCAGGTGACATGAGCCACCGCTGAGGGGAAGGGATTCTCCTCAGGAAAGACCATCCACATCCTTTTCTTCTTCTTTATCTTCTTCTTCCTCTTCGTCCTCCTCCTCATCCTCTTCCTCCTCCTCCTCCTCCTCTTTCTCCTCCTCCTCCTCCTCCTCCTCCTCTTTTCTCGCAAACAAATATAATCAATCAAGAAAAAACGAAAACAAGATTTCCGATTCTACGAAGGAGACGAAGAAAAATCCAAATGGACGACAGAAGATTCGTGGATCGAATCCCAAAGAAGCACGTTAATTATTGAGAGCGCTATAAACGACTCTATTAATATGTGATATCGCTTTCCTTAGCATCTTAATTATCTATATTGATGGCGGAGTAAGCTGAACAAAACAACAAACAATAACAACACCCATTTGAGATTAGAGTTAAGAAGACGTGTGAATATAATATTCTATTGACAAAAACGATCAGAGACGCTTGATCGAGAACACTCTAAATCGAATGTTCGAACCGGAGGAAACAAATTACGGCGACCTGTGACATTGTATTAGTAGTATATTTATTCGGGTATACGCGAGCGCGCGTAGTATACCCATAGAACGATCATATTTTATTAATAGCCAGATAAATGTAATCAATGGTCGATTTCGAATATCGACGAACCTCTTGGGTCATATTCTTTCTTCTGTGAGAGAATCGGCGATCGAAGAATGCGATTTACTTTTTAACAAATTAACGACAGTCCCTGCTTATTATAATAGTTGGTTGAGTGAGTACTTATCTGTCTGCTGTGTGTGTGTCTGTCTGCTGTGTGTGTGTGTGTGTGTGTGTGTGTGTGACTGTGTGTCTGTGTGTGTGTGTGTGTTTGTGTTTGTGTTTGTGAGAATGAGCATTGAATGGGACAGCGTTTTCTATCGTACTCTACGAGGTTTTCGTCGAGATAAATAGAAAAAAGAAAAAGAGAGAGAGAGAGAGAGAGAGAGAGAGAGAGAGAGAGAGAGAGAGAGAGAGTGAGAGAAAGAGAGAGAGAGAGTGAGAGAGAGAGAGAGAGAAAAATATATAAGTAATTCGATTTACATATAAAACGTGCAATGATCGAAATATACTGGCAGAGTTTTGTGGCAGCTTAAAGTTCATAGGAAACTAATAATAATTATAAAAGCTTCGATTGTTAAAGATATTCGACAGAAACTTCGTATAGAACGAACTTTGCGTTATAGACACACACTCGATTTTCTTTCGTGTCCGTAACAACGCGCGGTGTGCTTCATTGTTGTCGTCGATATGGGAACACCGAGTAAACAGTATTTTTTAGTTGGTTCTCTGATATTGACACTGCGTTCCTAAATTGTTGTTTCTTTATCCTTTTTAACGCGTCGTTGAACCGTACACGAAAATTAATGTCGATACACGTAATGCAAGTTTGAATCTAATGCGAACGACGTTACCACTTTTATTAGTTTAACTTTGTTCTTCCTCTTCTTCTTCTTCTTCTTCTTCTTCTTCTTCTTCTTTTTTTTTCTTTTTTTATCATCAACACCTTTTAATTCATAAATTGTCTATAATATTATATATATATATATATGTATACATATATATATATGTATATATATAATCCAATTAATATATGATATATGTATATATTATAAAAAAAAACGTTCTAGTTTATAAATATAGAACTATTGATGAGCTCTATACGTTTTTGTTATATATAAATTAGAGCACAATTTTTAGGTGCATAAAAACGCATTTATAAGTTGGGTAGTGCAATTTGAAGATAATCTATCGGCTTTGATTTTATAGAATGAAAGGAAGAAAAATTTGTGGAGCCCATGTTGGATCATTGGACGAATTTTTGATATCGTGCAATAATACCGTTCAGCAATAGTTCCCCCTTCCCTCCACGCACCACCGTTTATTATTTATCTGGCATCAATCAATTTACACTTAAATCGTTATTAATTTTTTGTAAAAAATGTGAAAAAAAAAAGGACGCAATTTTTCTTTTCTTTTTAC